AGTAGATAACCTCAATTGCTTATATTTGCGCTGATGGAACCTCTCTTCCTCCAGGTCTTATTTACCAGGCCATCAGCGGTGACATACAGGATTCCTGGCTTTAAGATTTTGATCCTGAGCTACATGGTTGCTTCTTTGCCTCCTCACTAAGCGGTTGGATGAATGATAAGCTAGGATTGGCCTGGTTAAAGGACATTTTTGACCGGTATACTAAGGAGAAAGCGCGGAGGCGCTGGAGGCTTTTAATCCTTGATAGCCACGGATCTCACCTTACTATGGAGTTCATTAATTACTGTGACGATAATAAGATCCTCTTAATGACATATCTGCCTCATTTAACTCATTCGCTGCAGCTGCTTGATATTAGGATCTTTAGTCCTCTTGCCACTGCTTATAGCAAGTAACTGGAGGAATTTTTGCACAAATTAATAGGCCTAAGTTATATTACTAAACAAGACTTCTTCTGCCTTTTTTGGCCAGCCTAGCAGCAAGCCTTGTCATTAAGAAATATCCTTTCTTCATGGAAAACTGTCGGTATATCACCTCTGGATCCTGAGATTATTCTGCAGTGATTCACTAAGAAGAAGGACTCAAGGCCCTCTACTAGTGAGTCTTCTCGCTTGATACTACAAGCGGAAGATTAGAGGAAGATTAAAAGGCTTCTGAACCACATGGTGGCTGATATATATGACAAAAACACCAAGAAGTTAAGTTCAACGATGCACCACCTCTCTACGGAGAATATTCTTCTAAAACTACGTTGCCAAGGCCTCGAATCAGCCCTCCAGAATGAGAAGAAGAAGCGCTAGCGAGGTAAAGCCTTGCAGTTTGATATTCCACCTCCTGAGAATGGTGGTGCAGTATTTTATTCTCCGCGGAAGGTCTAACAAGCTTATGATCTTCAAAAGCAGAAGGATGAGGCTATACAGCTTGCTAAAGCTTCAAAAGAGGAAGAAAAGGTCCGCTGGCAGCAAGCAAAGGAAGAGAAATAATGCTTGCTTGAAGAGCGCAAGAGAATTTAAGCATCTTAACAAGAATTGCGCCGCTTGGAGGCAGAGTAGAAGAAATAACAAAAGGAGGAGGAGCGCCTGGCAAAGGAGGCAAATTAACAGCTTTAAGATGACTTCCAGCAGGCCAAGAAGGCTCTAAAGAAGCCCTCTAAAGCTTCACGCCAGTAAAATCTCCATACAAATAAGCTAATAAGTGCTGAAGTTGTTGCAGAGGCCCCTCCAACAGTAAATTGTTGAGGCTGGCAGATATGGCTACCCCACCGCTTCCGGAGCGATTAAAAATCATGTATAGACTGTATCTAATGACGACTTTAAGCCACCAAGAAATCGAGAGATAATATTAATTGGATGTGGTTGAATTGCTTCATGTTTGATATCATACTTGGTGGTGATTTCGGGCGGCAGGTGGGACCGGGCGTCAGGTGATCACCTACTGTACTGGCCGACTTAGCTATGCTCAATTGGTCCAGAGGATCAAGCTATTGGTAGTGTGGAGCGGGGCTCAAGCCATTTATGGAATAAAAGCTCCCACTAACGTAATTTACCACCGAGCTGCGTGGACCCCACCGAACTGCCCAAGAAGTTAACAACCACGGCGATACTATACAGATTATCATTAATCTCCAACCACAGCTTCATGACAGATAATTCAAAGGAAGATCGTCTACAGCTTGCAGTCAATGCCTTTAAAAAAGGCCTTTTTACATCCAAAACTGCTGCAGCTAAAGCATTTGATGTCCCTCCAAGAACTTTGATGACGCGTCTAAATGGCACCAGTTCTCGCAAGGAATCAGTTGCTAATGGTCGCAAATTATCAGATACAGAAGAATCAACACTTACTTCATGGATTCTTGATATGGACCATCGTGGTCTGCCCCCACAAATATCAACTGTACGCTATCTTGCGCAGCTACTACTCTCTGCTTGAATCCCATCCCCTCCTCAATATGTCGGGAAGCACTGGGTGTCGCGATTTGTTGAACGCCATCCAGAACTGAGCTCAAAATACACCCGGAAGTATGACTATCAACGAGCAAAGTGTGAGGATCCAGTACTTATTCAGGAATGGTTTCAAAGATTCCATGCCACTATCCAAAAGTATGGGATCTGCACTGAAGATATCTATAACATGGATGAAACCGGCTTTCAAATGGGTATTATATCAACTGCTAAAGTGGTCTGCGGATCAGAGACAAGGGAAAGCAGAGTTAAGGCAGTACAGCCTGGAAACAGAGAATGGGTTACTGCTATTATTGCAGTTAGTGCAGCTGGATGGGTCTTGTCACCACAGATCATCCTTGCTGCAGAGAATCATCAATCACAATGGTATACTAATATACCAAAAGACTACCGGATCTGTTTGAGCAAGAATGGATGGACCAATGATAACCTAGGCCTTGACTGGCTACAGAACTGCTTTGAGCCCGCTACAGCTCCACATACTCTTGGGCGATATTGCCTCTTGATTATGGATGGACACAGTAGCCATGCTACTGCGGAGTTTGATAAGTTTTGTGTAGAGAAGAGGATTATTCCTCTTTATCTACCTCCACACTCCTCACATATTCTACAACCACTTGATGTGAGCTGCTTCTCACCATTAAAGCACTTCTATGGCCAGAAGACTGCAGGGATGATGCTGAAAGGGATCCATGCTATTAAGAAGACAGACTTCTTATCTATCTATCCTTCAGTTCATCTTCAAGCCTTCTCATCATCAAATATTCAAAGTGGCTTTACAGCAACCGGGCTTATTCCACTACAGCCAGAGAGAGTCCTTTCAAAGCTTCCTCATCTCAAAACACCAACACCACCATCTACAGCACACAGCAGCCAATCTTTTGGGATTGGAAAGACTCCTGCAAATCTACATCAACTAGAGCAGCAGAAGAAGCGGATTCAATGTCTTCGAAGCAAGCCATCTATCTCTCCAACTGTGATTCAACAGGCCATGGATAAGATTATCAAGAGTGCAGAGATCACAATGCAGAATGCTCTTCTAGTACAACAGGAGCTTCACCACCTTCAGGAAGGCAATAGATATCAAAAAGCAAAGCAAGCAGTACCTCGAAGCTTCATCCAAAAAGGAGGGACCTTGACAGGAGAAGAAGGGCAGCAGAAAGTTCATGAGCAGGAGGAAATCTTGAAGAATCAGACAAGAGCACCACGCAGGCCACCAACTTGTAGTAATTGCAATCAAGTAGGGCATAATAGACGTAAATGCCCTAGTAGATAATTACAGGCGAAAGTTTATTCATCCTGTTGAGAAAAAACCTTCCAAATAATGTTGGCCGTAGCAGACTGTTTTGTTGCGTAGGACCGCGCAGCTCGGTGGTAAATTACATTAACAAAGCAGTAGAAGTTTGCAGCACCTGGAGATTCACGAATGCGATTCGGATGTAAAGCCGGTTCATGAAGGGCCACCGCAGCTGGGTGGATGCAGTGGTCTAGCGTAATAAGGAAAGATTATGGCCCATCAAGACCAGAAAATATAGGGTCGTGTTCTTTGAGCCACCACCTGAAGGCATTGGGAACTTGGAAGCAGGACTAGGACTCATGGATATTGATCATCATTGATGATACAAGTGAAATACAGACGAGTATACATATATATACCACAGCACTTTCAAACATAATCACCATGACAACCTGTCATGTTGAAAAATCAGGCATTATTAAGCATCAACACTCTGATATTTAGTAAAGATATTATCTATTAATGAGAGAGATCTTCATTATGTCTTGCTATATCACTAGGACTCTATATAAAAGAGAACAAAGTCATTTAGAGGCAATTGAGCAGCTCTCGTTGAGACATCAGTATGTGTACGTAAGCAATGCAGGCATTCATAGCTCTCAAAGTTCTTTTGTTCACTTTCGCACTGTAAGCAGTAAGGACCGAATCAATTAATTCTATTACTAAATGGACAAAGAGAATTTCTTATTGTGACGGCTACTACCGTCACCCAAACTTCCTGCACTACCTGACCATTACCTCATTGGACTGTTCAACTACTTTGCTATGCAACACTCATATGTTTACACTTCCTGCACTTATTCTTTTTCTCTTCTCCCTATGCTTAGTATTATTGATGAAATACAAACATATGATTTCAAACTTGAGTAAAGTGTCATACATATGCCCTATTCAGTAGCGAATAATAAAAGATGTTGAACTAAAACGTTCCCTCCTTCTCATTGATTTCTGAAAGCGCTACTTAGATGATCTCATATAAACTCGCATCTAATGAGGAAAATATCATCCGGTTATTGTACTTCTGGAGCGAAACATCCATGAGGTAGACGACAAAGAAGATAATCAGTAATATTCTCAAGTTCAACAATTAGTTCCTTAATGTGTTGTCGAGATGCATTCAGTTATCCCATAAGAATAATCTACTACAGATGTTAACGCCTAAATTCATCATGATTGAACCATATGCTCTCTTTGTCTGATTCACTTCTCTGAAGCTGATGAATGTTTTCCTCATAGAATCTCTTTATTATATGCTTGAAATAGTCTCTCCCTGCTCTTAACTGCTCATTGAGTCATTGATTTCTGCTTTTCCTTACCTCAGGAGCAAATCTCTTGTAGAGAGATTCAAGATGCCCCTTAACAAGAACCCAGAATCTTTGACCACATAGAAAATAATGATAAGGACAAAGTCGCTCAATTAAACACGACCAGACAAGGCGCAGATCATTCCTAAGGCAATTAGACAAGATGCAGATCATCCCCAATGCGACTAGGCAGGACACAGATCGTCCTCAAGGCGACCAGACAGATGAAAGCATGATGAGTGCTTCACAGCACGATTATTCATGACATTTCATACCGCAATATTGAATGGAAGAAGGGCCAAAATCATAACATCTGGCAAGCTGATGATGAGCAGCTGCAAAATGTGTGTAGCCTTCCATTCAGAGACTCACTATTCAAGATCATCTATAGTCACCACATTCACACATTCCTTGAGTATCTGTCAGTCTTTATTTGATGCCCCATTTCAGCATCAGTTGATGTTTAAGCTCGTCCAGCCTGATCCAATGATCCTCCACAAACACCATATCCTTCTGCCCTTCATCACGCTGTCTAAGGCTCTTTGGTAGGGGAGGAAGCAGAATCCAGTCATGTTTTTGACAGCAGATATTGACTGCAAGACTTCCGCTCCTCCGCAGTTGCAAACACGTCACACAGAGTATAACGTTGTGACAATATCGGCAGATTGAGATATTGCTGATTTCGACAGACCTGTGACATCCCCTGCAAATGATAGACTGTTCGACCAACTCCTCATTCTCACCATTGCTGTCATTATCATATTTCGCGAGTGAGTAACTCTGATGCCACATTGTGACTGCGCCCTCCTTGTCACCCACACCAGCCAAGACACCCCCAAGTCGCCGAAATGCCATTCCATCATTCAACGGATCATTGTCGCTCAAAAGCCGAATACATTCCTTGACTTGTGCCGTGTAGCAGGCCATCGCCTCGATGTTCCGATCAGAAAGTCTGTAGTAATTCCCCATGATCAACCCGACCTCCGAATTAGTCACGAACCGGTCTGCATGGGGAGGATTCTTCTCCGGTTCCTGTGGGTTTGTGATATCACTGACATAGAGAGCTCTTCCCTGCGCGAGTAATTCCAGCATCTCGCCGTATCTCCGGCCCTCGACTGTATCAACTCCCACTTCCATAGCCTGAGTTAGATAGTGAGTCGCCAGAAAATTAGACGCAGTCTCCAGCACAGGGGTAATCTCTCCATCAGATCTCTTCCCACGGTAGGTATTGATGAGTCCCTCCCACACCCGCGCAGCGCGTGAAGAGTCGTGTTCATAGATCTGGAGAAAGACGCCCCTGCAGAGTTCGAGATTTGCAGCCTGGACGGTTTTAGCCTTGCGAAATGCAACCATGGCAGCACTCGCATATGCATTGACCATGTAGGCTGTGTTGGATGTGTGGTACGCCGCCGCTGAGAACCAGTGTGTAAAAGCGTCGGATAGTTCGGAGTTGGTCATCAGACATTCCGATAGGCGTGTGAAGTCGGTCTCGGGGATTTTTTCGTCCATTTCCTGCAGCAGGTCCATGCTCTCCGTGTATCTTCCCTCCATGTTTAGATATGCTAAGATTGCACGAACACAGGTGTTGCACCGATTGTTGTACCCAAAAGCCTTTCTGTAAAGGGACAATCCCTTCTCAAATTCTCCGAGCTGGTTATAGCAGAGTCCGAGGGACTCTAAGACGCGGTGCACCTGACCATCGCTTTTATGGCTATCGTTTGGGAACGGTTGTTCGCCCTTGTCCAACAGCTGCATGCAAATTTCCTGGGCCTCGGCCGCCTTTCGGTATTCCTTCTTGCGAATATATGCTGTGGCCATTTCAGCACGCGTAAGCCAACCGTCAGCTGTCGATCCTAATTGAATCGCCTTCTGAAAGTACTCGATACATTCATCAAGGAAGCCAAGGTCTCTCAGCGCCATAGCGAGGCGTCGATGCCAAATCGCAGTCTTCTCAAAACCACACCACTCTGCTGTTTCAACCACGACTCCCGCGGATTCAATAGACTTCACTCCAGAGGTCCCGCGGGCATGAAGGTAATCGTGGACGAACTTGCAAATGTTATGTCCATTCGACGTCGAAGCCGCATCCCCCAGCCAACTCCTGGCAATGTAGCGGATAGCGGGGAGAAAAATATCGTTGCTATCGCCAGAGGCAAACGAGTCATACCACCCCTTCCCGACCGGTGGCAACGCCTCCTGCACATCGGAATTGCTTAGCCAGGTCAGAAACAGGTCCCGGATGTCCTCTAGGAGAGGCACATTACCGGTAAACATGACAAACCTGGGCATCGCCCACTCGTCAAAAAGAAGCCTTGCCAGATAGATTCCAATGGTTTGTTTGTCGGCTTTGCTGCATAGATGAATGTCCATGGCCTTGAGGGCTGGGATGACCGAACTGCTAGCTCGGAACAGGAGTACATTTGCAATATCGCTTCTTGAGGAGTCCTCTGGGCAAGAGATAATTTCATAGTATCGTTTGAATAGCATTACTTTCGCTTCATGGAAACTGACTCCAATCGGTGGGCAGCCATCCGCAGATATCGGACTGTTCCATTCACTCCTGAAAAAGTCTCCCAGCGAGGCATGCGTCAGCGTCACATATGTTGTCTTCGGATCGGAGTTGAAATCAGGCAGATTGTCCAAGTCCTCAAACCCAATCTCCGAGTCGTGAGTATCTACTTGTCCCATATATATTGCTCTCCGTTGAAGTTCTGTCGTCGTCAAGCCATCCTTCCGGTTGAGGAGAAAGAGCGAAGCGTACTGCCTCCGTAGATCTCCCTCGAGCCAGATCCAGCCGTCCCCAGATTCCGAGCGCCATTTGACGACGCTTTCCATTTCGTCCAATCTGAGCGGCGACGTGGAACAGGTAGCCCAGGCGAGCATTTCATTCAGGTCCTCTGCATATTGAGGCGAGTTTTTTAGACTCTCTGATATGTCCTTCAGAACGTGTCGGATCATCTGGGACAGGCCGTTTGGTGCTTCATCCAGTGCTCTCCGCATGCTTCCTTCGTCCCGCTTCTTGAGGAGCTCTTTGAGCATGAAGTCAACCCATATAAACTAAGATATGTCAGCAACGACGCAGTCACTGTTGCTCCTAAGAGTCACTTACCATCCCCTGAGCCCCGGCAGATAATCTGTCCACTATTTCCAATTGCAACGCCTTCGAAGCCCGTTTAAGATAAACCGACTTCGAGATGCTGCTCTTAATATACCGCACAATATCCTCCGAGTTATTCAAATCAGAGACATAAATAGCCGGCCCGGCTAAGGCTTCTACGATCTGGTCGATCTCCTCGTCAATATGTGGCCGGCCTAGCATGAGAAACTGCAGCCTTCCTCCCTGCTGAATATCCTTAAGCATTTCGAACAACTCCAAGCGGTCCTCCGCGAACGCTTCGTCAAGCGCATCCAAGACGATGTAAACGCTACTATCCAACGCATTATTCGCGAGAAAGAACTCAGCGTACAGCTTTTGCCAGAGACTGGGCAGCGTTGCGATGTCCTCCCGGGAATCAACGCACGAAACGATATGTTTTGTGTACATGGGATCATTCTGGGCTATTTGGAATGAAATATCACGCAGCGCCTGATGCAGGTACCGCGTCTTCAGGTCATCATCTTTGAAAAAGAAGTAAGCAACGGAGACGTGAGACGGATGCTGCACATTTTGAGGGAATCGCTGTTTGAGGTACGTTATGATATTAGACGCCAGATACGTCTTTCCGGCACCAGGTGTGCCGGTCACCCAGAGAAGTGGTTTGACTCGGCTCAGCCAATCTCGAAAAACCTTCTCTTCTCGTATCCAGTCCCCTGTGCCGTGTGTGCGACTTCTATTGATCGCGGTGTATCGGTCATCGGCACTGGTTGTCGGCTGCAGGACTCGTTTCACATGGTCGCGATTTCTTTTCTCCTGCGCTTGCTCGGTCTGCATCTGCGATAGGCCCATATTATTCATATGTTGGACAAGCTTTTCAATGTTGCTGTCCACCCTTTTGATCCGGGTGTTAGCCACTTTAACTTCTGTCAAGGTCTCAGCACCAGTAAGATTCCTTTCACTGTCCATCAGGGCGTTCAGTTTGTCTATCATGGCTTTGCCTTCATCATTACCGAGGAGGACGTTCTTTCCAAAGGTCAGAAGCCGTCCACGTTCAATCTGATGCCGCGCAATGGCGAAAATCTCCAACATCGTGGACAGAATATCCGTTAGTTTGTCCCGTAGCGCGTCGGAAATCAGCTGCTTGGCATAAACACCCAACCGGACAGTGAAATCCTGAATCAACCATGAAATAAATACCTCGAGAGCAGGTTCACAGGGAGGCCTCGAGACAAACCTTCAAAGTCCCCATCAAGTCCACTATCGCATCATATTTCGCGGACACCCCTCCAGCGGCATTGATCAGGTATTTAACTGCACTAAAAATAAGCCCAGCAGGAGGGAACGCAATCTGGGCACCCGTCGATGCCAGATCCCCGACCAGCTGGATAGGAAGCATGGCCGATGTCAGAGCGGAAAAGATGTGAGATCTTTTAGCCCTGAAGTCGCCAAAGGCCTTATTCTCCGTTTCGATGGATCCCAGCAGCTCTTCCACAGTCGTTAATTCCCGCAGAGAAGCCAAATCCAGGGCCTTCTCGGTGATCCGCTCATACCGAGTGATGGCTCGCGTCCAGATCTGGGGGATCTGATCGTGAGACATACTGCCAAGGTAGTCGACATTAGGAGGATAATTACGTGGGGGAAACGTGCAATCCGTAATCTTGTCGATCTGGCGGGGTTCAAGAGTCGAATTCCTGCCTAAACCTGACTGGCGATAGCGTCAGGCTAGTGACATTGATCAATCATCGCATCGAACGTGTCAGTTAGGGCGGGGAGCTTGGGATATTATGATTCGGGCGTCCAAAAGTCCATTCTTTGGACTCGGAACATACTATTACCTGATCTCGTCTAGGGCTGTTGACGATTAGCCGATTAGCCGATTTTGACGATACGATATCGGCGACGCTACAAAATCGGCAGACTTCAGATTCTGACGATGCTGATTGACGATATTTTCGCCAAGGTCTCAGGTTTGCCGATACGATATTTGTGAAAACCTGCCGATATCGTCAAATCGGCTATACTTGATTGAGAATGTATATATATGTTTTGACCAGCATGATATTAAAGCAACCTCATGGATTACTGATGTGATATTTTTTCATTAGAATATCTCTTGATAGATATCCTAGCTAATTCTTGTACACATCACCCACTAACATCAACATTCTCATTGTATTCGCCTTCATTGAATGCCTTCGAACACCCAATAGATCCCTCCCTGCACTGAACAATCTTTTAACAGCAACTTCAGAGGCGGGGATAGCAAGATAATCCCTAGCTGCCGCTGCCATCCGTGGATATTCATCCTTATGTATACGCCACCAATTACAGAGCCAATTTGAATCTTTAGTATCAGTAACAGTGACCAGAGGACTATCAAAGTACCTATCAATATCAGAAAGTAGGGGCTGATTTCGTGCTTGTAACCTCTGCAACATCCTAGACTCTGCATCACTAGACTCCACAGGAGATTGTCGTTGAGTTATAATAGATGAATTCAGCTGTGTATCATTTGGGGGGTATTTCTGATGAAGAGCAGAGCGGATAGCCTCTAGAATTAGGGCACCAGCATTATTGTCTCCTTGTAATTCATCAAGGATCAGACCACCTTTGACTCTAGGATCCAGGACGAGTGCAGTGTAGTATGTGTCCGATTCATCCATGAAGGTATAGTATTTTTTATACTTCTTCATACCCTCCTTCACTGCGAGTGCAAGATCTTGATCAAGTCCTGCAAAGTCACCATTGCATTCAGAGGCATCATTAAGCAAGTCATGGAGCTCATAGTAGATTGGGACAGTGAGGCTGATCTGGGGCTTCTTTTTCGAAATGAACAAAGTAAACTTATTAAACTTTGAAAGTACTCTGTGGATCTGTGTAAGCTGTGACCAATAATCTGTTATAAAAGGTGGAAACTCAGTTTGAAGCTCTAAGAACTTGTTAATCTGTTGCTTTGAAATCAAGCCATCATTAAGCATGCGGTAGGTTGAATTCCACCGGGTATCAACATCATATTCAATGAATTTATCTGGAAGATTGTTGATCTTACAGATCTCTTTGCACTTCTGTCTCCGCTGGGGATGTTAATCAATCCAGAGTGCCAAAATGTGGAGTCTTCCTAATGCTGTTTGAGTTGTAACAGAGTTTCCATTTTGTAAACTGTTACAAGCAGCATTTGCTTCCTCTATATCACCAGACTTCAAGGCTCGAAGTATATCTTTGACAATGAGGTTCAGGATATGGGCCAAGCAACGGATGTAGCTCTCTAGACCTTGATATAGAGGCCTTGCGTCTTTTTCGTGGATCTGAACTCTGCTTGATAGACTGTGAAATAACTCTGAGGCCATGGTCTTATTGTTACTGGCATTTTCCCCAGTAATAGAAATCAGCTTCTGCTCAAGACCTAACTCTATAAGAGTAGTCTCTACTGCTGTGGCTAGATTTTCTCCACTGTGTGCTCCATGGAGTTCTGTAAATTCTAAAACTTTTTCACAGTATTCAAACTCTTCCGTGAGCCAATGACCAATTATGCCGATAATTGGGAGGTGATTCTTGCTTGTCCAGACATCAAGAGATAAGGCAATGGTTTTGCAAGTAGTAGCGAGCTCATCTTTTAATTAAAGACGTTGCGCAAAATCATCCATAAGTCGTTGTCGAAGAGTATGTCTGGAGGAGAATGGAAGTGTAATTCCTGGGATATCCTGAAATATCTGTTGAAATGCTGGAGATTTAATGGTTGTAAAGGCTTGCTTTTCAGAGACAATCCAGCAAAGGAGATTCTTTTCCAGAACTTGTTGATGGCCAAGGTTCCCTTTCCCACTCATAAAACTCCAAATATCAGGTTGTTTTCTCTTCTCCACCAATGCCTCTGAGTCTATACCACTAGGAGGGTAAATAGAGTGCTTTGCAAGATGATTCTTCATGTTACTTGTTAAAGTTTGTCTTGATGAGTCTATTGTTTTCCAGCCGCACTGCATACCAGTCTTATCATCAACAGATGTGCAACGAATGTCCCTGTCCACAAGTTTTCTCTTATTTGTCTTCTTGACAACCCACTCACGATCAACAGCTGTTGTATCAAAATAAGCCCATAACCACTCAGTGGCAGGCGCTGGTCGTTGATGATTTGGACGGCGGATTTGAGGGAATACATCATATGAAATCACTGAGTTCCCAGTGGCTGTTGAGCTTTCTTTAAGTAAATGAGATTGTGATGCTGACTCTGAAGGCATGATTTCAGCATCTGAGATATTGGTGAGGACTTCTTCCACATCTGTAGACCCTTTATCCCACAAGGGATGGAGCACCATGGGCATGGTGGATTTAGGGTGTAACATCTTATTGGCTGGTAGTGCCCCACATGAGGGCATGGTGGATTAGGAAGCAGGGTGCATGGTGCATTTGAATATAATAGGCTGATAAAGCTCAGATTTTTTCTGAAGATAGAGTAGCTAATTATTTCTTACTTGAATAAATTTAAGGTCTATAGATGCATTATTAAAGGTGTGGTATGGGTATGAAACTACCTGGTCTAGAATAATAATTTTGTTGGGGTATCACCCGCACATACATCAAATTCAGGGGTAAAGGTATTTCGTGATCATTCAAATTCATTCAATTCATTTAAATCTATGCATATTCATTGATAATCATTATGGAAAATCAATTATTTTATAAGTTACCTACCCTAGGGATTATTATTTGCCATCAATGCAAGCATGCAGTGCGACCAGCTGAGGTAGAATAGCATCTAAAGAAAAAGCATTACCTAAAGCATGCAGTTACTAGACAGATCACCCAGGCCCTATCACAGTGGCATGATATTCAGCATGATAGTAGTGCTATCTGCATACCTTATAAATTAGATCAGCCACTACCTCTATTACCATCTCATTCTAATGGCCTCCTCTGCCAGCGTGATCCCAATTGCTTATTCATTGCCTCGACCATGAAGTCAATGCGAAAGCATTGGCAGGTAGTTCACCAATGGTCCCAGCAGAGCCATCGCGGGCGGGTTAGCCAGAAGGAAAAGGCTAGGGGTGAGGCTGAGGTACAGCAGTCATTCTAATATATATCATGGCAGCAGGTGTTTCCTAGTGGTCCGGGGTCCCACTATATCCATATTTGCTTTCCAGATGGGTGCCCCCTGCCCCCATCAACCCAGGGCGTGCAGGCAGCAGTGTTGGAGGTGGTGCAGGCCTGGGAGCAGGCGCAGGCCCGGGCTAAGGCCGATCAGGCCATCCAGGCCAGCCAGTTGACAGACGCGAACCCCTGGCTGCGCATGACTCGGTGGGCCGATTACCTGCAGGGCATCCAGGCCCATGACCTGCTAGCCTGCGTGGCGGCCCCGGAGGAAGACCCCACAGATGCTATAGAGCAGGCAGTGCAGGTGATCTGGCATACCATGGAGCAGGTGGCCCGGAAGAGCCAGCAGACAGTCCAGCAATGTGGCCAGGCCATCCGGGTGGAAGCTGTCTGGTCTGAAAAGGGGCAGACCCCGTACCGGCCGCTGCTGGCATATATGGATGAGGCGGTGATCAAGAAACATGTGCAGCCATGGCAGCAGATACTAGCATTTATTGCCCGGACCCAGGCCCCACACGATTGGGCCAGCCCTTGATATGGGATGACCGCCCGGCAGCGCCAGAAATGGCGGCAGCTATGGCAGCTCGCTAGCCAGGCTGCAGTGCCAGGGGACCTGGAGGACCTTAAGGCATGGGCCATGACCGCCATGGAAAAAGCATGCTTAGAATTTTGCATTGAGCTGCTCAACCAGCGCCATCGCAGCCATGAATACGAGAGCGCATTAGTATGCGCCATGGCTGTGCTGGGCCAGGGTGAGGCTGGCTGGCGGGACCCCGAGAGCTACCCCCTGATATTATCCTATCCCACAGGGGGCGGCGACTGTACTTGACACCAAGCTAGGGTTTAGCCCAGAGCGGTTTAGCGGCCGGGGTATGGGGGTAGGGACCAACGAAACCGTCTGGGGTACAATCGTCGCGCCAGATAGAGTCGTATGCATTTCAAATTTTGGCAGGTTACTGGTTAGCTGGTTTCACATAATCTGACCAAATTTCAATTGGGAATTCGATGATTTGCAGCTGTAGTAAGGGTGTGGTTAATGTACGGAATTTTGATGTGGTTTGAGTTGCCGCCAAACAGTGAGAATCTGGAAAGCACTGCCCATGACCACCACCATGGCTCCAGGGGAGGTTGGAGGCAGTTTAAATTTAGCCAGCTCACTGATATACTAGTTCCAAGTAATCCAGCCAAATTTCAGTATCAAAATCAATGATTTGCAGACATGGTGAGGGCATATTTGACCCCCAGGAGTTGGTGTGGTTTGAGTTCCTGCGGATAGAAAAAGCAATGCCCACAAATCAAACATTCAGGGGCTGAATCCCATCATCATTCAGATAATCAGTTAAATAGTATTATATTCATCCAAATGAGCCATTAAGAATGGAACAGCAGTTATTTATTAAGCTTTCCCAGCCACCAGTCATTATCTGCCGGTCCTGCCGCCATGGGGTGTGGCTAGCTGAGGTAGAAAGCCATCTCCGGGGGAAGGCCCATCGATTACCCCAGGCCACTGCA